GATTGGTCGATTTTTCCCATTTCAGAGAACATTTTCGTCCATATACACACTTTTCGGGAGTAATAGTGAATGTTATATCATCTGAAAATAAAAGAGAAATATACGAAGAGTGCATATTATACTGACCAAAAATAACATGTCATTCCATATATCTCCATAGATTTGTTTCACAAAATTGTTGAAGACGACAGGTGCAGATATAATCGATATCATGACGTTATCAGCTTATCTGTGGCGTTTGGCCTGGAAGTGACCATGACCTCAGCTCACACTTAACTGCATTGATAATCGGACATCGTTCATGGATAAGTTTAAAGGGATACAGTATTCTTAACATTCGCTTAACGATAGATGTCAATTGCAAACTGAAACCATCCCAGAGTTAAGATATAAAAAGGCTAGTGAAATAAACTTACTGCCTGTAGGAGCTATTGAGGTTTGTTCTGGTTTAGCTGTAATGTTAATCGGTTGTGCATTTGGATCTACGATAGTCACATGGTAAACAACTTTAAGGACGGTATCATTCTGTCGAACATGTACTGTATATTGTCCAGCATCGTCAAAATTAGCATTGGCAATAAACATAATCTCTTTCCTAGATCCTATATGTAGATCTATGACATTATTTACTCTATTTAATGACATATCTCCCTCTGGAAAATTTTTATACCATCTGGTCGTCACTGGATAACCAGAATAGTACAATTCTAAATCACGTCTTTTACCCTGTTCAATTGTTACGTTGGTTGTTATCATATCGTAAAATATCTGCAATGGACCTAAAAGAGAAGCGATTAAAGTTTTGTGGAATGTATTTCATTTTGCTACTACCGATGAGTTACATCAAATGAAAAGTGTTCACTGTATGTTGCAATTATACCTATACACAGAGCAAAATAAAAATATAATATTGTCTTTATTTAAGTATTTACTATAGTTTAATAAAATAGGTGTTCAAAATCAACCGATTTTATCATAAATAATACTATGTTGTATTCGTTGCCCGTGTGTTAAGCCAAGTAAATTTACCAGTGGTAATTACCATTTGATTTTCGCAAACCTCGAAAATTCAGCATTCAGATATAAGATAGATATGTTTCTAATCATAACGAAACTGCAAAACAAAACAAAGAATCCACAACAACATATTTGCAATACATTGGTTGCAGCTAATGAACTTTTCATAGTTCGGAGAACGGTGAAATTAACTTTTGGTCTTTGGGGTTAAATGATTTTACTCAGAGTTAAGGAATACAGCATCCATGTAGTGGGCTTACTTACATTCAAGGACATTAATCTCTACATTATCACTACTCAGTCTACCAAATCCAGTGAAAGTAAAACATGAAAAATAGTGATCTGTACATTTTAATTTAGTTGTGGCTCTGTAATTCAGGAAATGCCCCTTAGAAACAGTAGTAGTAAGATTGCTGGCATCACTATTTCTAGTTATAGACGTTGATACCATGGTAGGGTCGTAGGTTGTAGTACCGTAAACAACTACTTGACACAATAAATTCACTTCCTGACCTACTGTTCCAAAGTAAGCAGATGAAGTCAACTTTGCTACTACAGATGTATCTAGAAAATAAACAAAAATTAAGTCTAAATCTAAGTTTCATGATACCTTGCTTAAAACGTCAAAATAAAAATGACCTATTCAAGAATTTAAGGTAGAAAAGCTTGCAATCATATGATCCAAAGTTTGATAACAAAATATTTCTTTGACAGTTTCATATGTTTTGGATCATGTTTTATCTCTTTATATATGTTAAATGTTGTAATACTTAAAACTAATTACTTACAACCAGTTTTTACTTTAATAGTTGCCTCTTGATTTCCATTTTTACAGGTCCATTTGTTATCATCGTTTTCCTTTATTACTACTTTGATTATAATTTCTGATTTCCGAGTGTCAAAATATGTGCGAAAGCCAGGATCTGGACTGCCTGGCACAATCAAACATGGAGACTCATAGGAGTATCTTGCCAAACAGGTTAGTAATGGCGCATCACCTCTAATGAATTGCACATTTTGAGATCTATCTATTGGACCGCATGTTAAAGGACACTCGTTTCCAGTAACGCAATTTTCTGTTGGTGCTGTAAACTGAAAATCAGCTGAAAAAGTC